GAAGAAGAGAGTAGAGAGAGAGAGAGAGAGAGAGAGGAGAGAGAGAGAGAGAGAGAGAGAGAGAGAGAGAGAGAGAGAGAGAGAGAGAGAGAGAGAGAGGAGAGGAGGAGGAGGAGGAGGAGAGGAAGAAAGGGGGAGGAAGAAGAAGATGAAGCAGAAGAAGAAGAAGAAGAAGAAGAAGAGGAAGAGGAGAAAGAGGGAAGAGATAAGGAAGAGATAGAGGGAGAAAAAAAGAGAGCAGAAGAGACAACAAACGGTACATGAATTATGATATATGCTATACAAATATTTGAATCACATTTTTTCAATTAAAATTATAGAGAGTTAAAAGAGAGAGTTAAAATAAAAGAGAATAGAATAAAGATATTACCCAGTAAAATGTTAGCAAAATGTCGACAGATTGATAACAGATTTGATTAGGAAATATTAGCAAACTGACTTCTAAAGTCGCATTCTGCTTACGCGTTCTGACAGAACCTGTTGACATTCTAGACCAGCAGTCTGCCGCTTTGTTTTGTTTCTGTCGACGATCTGTTGACATGATATGTTAGTAAGCTTTGTCATATTCCTGACAAGTAGTTTGTCGATATCGTCAGATATTACAGATTCTACTTGAAATATTTTGCTGTCTTTTTGCTATCAGAAGTTGATAGCATACTCTGCTCAAAATCTGTCTTTGCAGGCTTAGCTATTGGCATTAACGAAGAAGAAAATGATGATGATGATGATGATGATGATGATGATGATGATGATGATGATGATGACGATCAACGAGAATTCGACACTACTGACATATTGGAAGAAATTGACGAGACAAATGAGAATGAAGATTCAGACGAGGAAAATAATTTTATGAATCATCTTGATATGGAATTTGATGAACTTAGCACAGAGATAGATGGTAATTCAGCAGAAGAGATGAATAACGGCATATCAGAGGAATTCTCGAGTATTCCTGGGATAAATGAGATTGATGATAACATTGCTGAACCTCTAGAGGAGGTAAATATTGTCATCTTTATTATTCTCCTACGTTACATACATTCTTATTTCATTTGTAATAATTTCTTTGATTATTTTCCGATATTGATTTTTATACATTTACTAATGAACATTTTTTTTTAACATATATGCTTTTTTTTTAACATATATGCTTTTTCATCAGATAGAAGGAGAAGAAACTGAAGAAGAAAATATAAACGATACAGATAGCGAATCTGAAGAAGAAGAAGTTGAGGAAGAATCTACTAGTGGTGAGTGACTGTTGTCTAGAACAAAATATATTTTTAAAGATACTTTTGGATAATTATATTAATAACTATATATAATGTATGTGATCCTCCATGCTCTTGTTTCGTTTAACTTTATAAAAAAAATATAATTCAAGAATAAATAAGTATCATTACTATGTAAATAAAAGATTGGAACATATTTGTCTTATACTATAATCATGATATTTCCTTATAAAAAAAGGTAGCAATGAGAAATAACATATGGTGGTTGCAGTGGCTGTGAAGTTTGGAATCGGTGTTGCACTTGTTGTTGCTGCGCATTTTGTTCTCGTTAGACGATGGAACAATGGTAAATTTTTCATTATCTCTCTATTTTATATCAAAACATTTCACAGAATTGGCATATATTAAAAATATATTGGCGTATATTAAAAAAAAAGGAAGATCATGAAAGAAAGAAAAGATCATGTAGGTGTATTAGATGTGAATCAAGTTGAAATTATTGTGTTTTTAAAATTAAAAAATTAAATTAAAATTTTACAAGTAATTCTTTAATATAGATAAATTTATTACAATTTATTACAATTAAATTGAGCTTTACTTAATATCCCTGGTTAAACGAGGGAAGTAAATGGAAGTAAAAATGATGAAATACTTCCGTTTATTTCCGATCTACTACAGCTTTTGCCTCTGAAAAATCAAAAGTAAATGGAAACACATTTTGAATTCTTCCTACTTTCGACAAAATAGATGTCATGGATTTCAGGCTACTTCCAAATCATGGAAATCATTATTTTCCGTTTTACTGCAGATTTTTTGTCACCTAAAATCTGGAGGAAATGGACATAAAATTCTAGTTTCTTCTACTTCCGACAAAAGAAATATCATTTTCCAATTACTTCCTGACTAATCATAAAAATAATTATTTTCCATTTTCTTCCGATCTACTGCAAACTTTTGTCATCTAAAATCCGGAGGAAACGGATAAAATTTTAATTCCTTCCTTTCAACCAAAGATGATGTAACTTTTTCCGTCTATTTTCAGTTCATAGAAGTCAATTATTTTCCGGTTTTTTTCGACCTATTACAATTTTTTCATGGTAAATTCAAGTGATAGATGAAAGTAAATTTTAGTGAAAAGTTAATGGAAACAATCCAGAGACAGAATGGACTAATAGATCCGGAATGTTAGCGGAAGTAGGTCGGACACATATGGAAACAGTCTAGCTTTTGAATGAGTGACGTATTCGTAAGTTTAATATCACTGGAGATAGATGAAAGTTTGAAGTAGATGGAAACAGTGTAGCTTCTGAATAGGCTGATGTGTTCGGAAGTCAATGTCAGCGGAAATAGGTAAAAAGTAAATGGAAACAATCTAACTTCTGAATAGGCTAATATGTTCGAAAGTCAATGTTAGCGAAAATAAATCGGAAATAAATGGGAAAAAGCATATGCCGAAATACCGGAATGAATTTGAAATAACTTTATTATCGGAAGGTGGATGGAAATAAATGGAAAACAATTATGTCCGATATATGCGTATAAGGAGAAACAAAAATATTTCGAAAGTATTTCGGAAGTTATTGGAAACACTCTGTGTCACCTTAAACCTCTTTTCGGAAGTCGGAACCAGTTTGAAGCAAAATGAAATAATTTTTCATTTTTTTTCCATTTACTTTTACTGTTTGACTAGGAATATAAAGGGACTTAAAGAACAAATATAAATATAGACTCCGTAAACAATGATACTTTATATAGATATATAATAGGCAATATCGAGTGGTTCAATTTTTTTAGTTGATATTGGTACTTTTCGTTCTCCGCATGATATAATCGACATACCTGATTTATCAAGACGTGATACACTAATTTCACCTCCTCATGTTAAACAAGTAATTAAGTCAATCGAGAAGGTTGAGAACAAGACACCTCTACAAGTTCAAGTAAAAAATTATGAAGATTTAAGATCTAAGTATAATAAGTTGCAAGAAGAAAATATTTCTTTTACTGATATAAAGAAACTAATTTCACAAGATGAAGCGGCGCATACAAATGAAAAACGATCAACTCAAAGCACAACTAAAGAAGGTTTAGTATTAATATTTTACTATTTTTTTTTCGAGTTTTCATATATATTTTATCGATGAATTATACAGTATATTTATTTTTTGATTATAGAAATCGATATTAAACATGGCCAATATAAAGTATCATCTGAGGAAGAAGAAGAAACGGAAGAAGATTATGAAGTAGAAACATCTGAAGGGGAACATATTTCCGGATTAGAGGAATATAATGAAGATCAAATAAGAAAACAAAAAGAAAAGGAAGAGGAGGAAGAAGAAGAAGAAGAAGA